TTTGTGTGTTAAGTTGAAATTTGTTCACACTGATTTCCATCATCTGTTCGCCCAAATGAACTTTATGACTTACTTCACTTGCTTTGGGCTGCTTCAGAAAGGTTCAACAATTGAATGCTCTCTTCTCTGCCCATTGCTGTTGTTTGTCGGTTTTCTCATTTGTTTTCGTTTTTTTCATCTATTTCCCTCTGGCTCACAATTTTAATTTAGGTTGATGGCGTTGTCATACGACCCGGACATTCCAATCTCGATATTGATGATTTAATGACGCGCAACTCGAAGCGCTCAGCAGGCGATGCTGGTGCCCAGTCAGCCGGTGGCAATGGCGGCGGATCCGGCGCTGGTGGCTCCGCTTTCAGCGGTGGCTCCGGCTACTTTGGAGGAGGCGCGGCCTCGGCCAACATTGGTGGCCATTATGATGTGCTCTTCGGCGTTGTTACGGGCGAATCCATTTGGCGCTTCAGCGCTCATGACATACAGAATGGCTTCGAGGGCGAGAGACGAGATAAAATTATACGCACGTATGTGCGCAACGCTTACAACTACCATCTCAATGAGATATTCTATACGGTAAGTACGCTCTGCCTATAAATATTCTCAGCTAACTTCACCATTTGCCTTGCCAAAACTGCCAGACCGGACCCGACCGGACCGAACCGGAACCGTCTGTGGCTCCGGCTCCAGCTCTGGCTCCGGCTCGAGGTCTGCGGCTTGCAGTCCGTCACATAAATCTTGTAATCAGATTGCAGCTTCCCAGTGGTTTTCCCTGTTCGGGCTCGCTCGACAGGCGCTTTTTGGAATCAGTTAGTGGTGCACCTTATCTCCAGACTACTTATTTACTACGTGCCTCTTTCCACTTGGGCTTGTTGCCGACTTTTCTGTTTATTTGCTGGACTTACTTGTTCTTTCCCATTTCACCAAAAACTTTGCAGACTTTAGATGGCAACTTATACAAAACTGAAGAAGTGAGGCGAGGCGAGGAGACTTAAAAAGTCTGAGCTAATATTCGACTGGCTAAA